TGCCTGCATTTTCTTCAATTTATTGTGCTGGTTGGTCATGGCTTTGCATGTTTTTACAAGGTTTTCTTTATCTGCCTGGGTGTCTTCAAGGTTTTTTCTGACTTGTTATAGATTTTCTTCATTTTTCCAATTTTTTCTGATTTTTTCTGCGTTTTTCATTTTTTTGCAGCCCGATAAACCGATAAAAATCCAATAAAACCCCAATAAATGGCCAATAAATTTATTGGTTTATTGGGTTGCAAAAAAAATCAGGCACAAACCTTTCCAGGCCAGAGATTTTCCAAGAAATGCCCGAGAAATGCCCGATAAATGCCCAATAAGCATCCGAGAAGCCTAGATAAGCCCCAAACAAGCCACAGAAAAGCCGAGGGAATCCCAAAAGCTGAGGCCAAAGTAGCCTGAAAACAAAAGGCAAGCCAAAGAAAGAGTTGCTGCTGCACAATTAATGATTACCTGGGGTATTTGCATCTGCGCGCTGTAAGCATGCCGGAAAAGTAAGATCGACGAGCTTAGGGATGCTTCAATCGTGCCAGCTGGTGTGCGATACGTGGTGTGCAAAGATGCAGTCTCATTCTTTCCGCAGGACATTTGGTTTTGCCTTAGGCAAGTGGTGTCATGCCAGGCGCGACTGTTTGTGTTAAGCCTCTCAAGCGTGTGCGTTCAAAGACCCCGCCAGCGAACGTGGTGGCAATGCCGAAAAAGGAAGTTGATGCTAAGAAGCTGCGAAAAGCAGCGGCCAAGGACAAAGCGCAGGGTAAAGAAGCTGAAAAGAAACGTCGTGAAGTTGTTGTGTGCAGCACCCCAGCCCCGCCCAAGTCGATCCTGAAGTCAAAAGTCAGAAAGCAAAAGCAAGGACCTAAAGAAGCAAAGCCTTGACCAGGACATCCCTGGCACCCCAGAGAGGGAACAAAGCCAGGACCGAAAGCCTGAAGCCGGCAGCCCCGACATGTCTTTGTTGAAAGCCAAGAAAGTTCTGGAAGAACTTAAAGCAAAGGCGGAGGACCAGGAAGATTCGTCCTCTGCTGAGGACACGTTGTTGATGATTGTTTTGAGCGTTGTTTCGCTCAGCTTGCTAGATTAAAGTTGTTTCATGAGATTCTACCTCGATGGTGGGCTCAGGAGTCGTCGTCTGACAGCTCAGATGAGCCTGCCCAGCAAGCCAAGAGTGAAACCGAAACTGAGGGTCAGGGAAAAGACAAAGCCGACACAGAAGATGAAAGCGAGCAGAAGGAAGACGAAAGTTATGATAATGAAGCCGAGGAGGGAGAAGAGGAA